TTGTTGTTGATGTTGTTGTTGTTGATGATTTTATTTTTTGTATTGTTAGATGAGTCTCGGCACATCTGGTATAGCTTAGGATGTCGTTGTTGATTTAAGATGTTTGTTTTGTCTCTTTGATTGTTCCTTTGTTGTTGTTTGTTGTTGTTGTTTTGAAGATTTTTGTACATCGTTGTTCGTTTCAAAACAAGTAAACGAATGAACAATAAAAATAGAGAATGTTAGTAAACATTTTTATGAAGTTTTAAATTCAAGGGTTGGTTTATAGAAGAACATTTTTCTGAAAAAATTTTTTGGATATACAAAATACATTTTATTGTGAATATAACAACATTAACAACAACATTAACAAACAACAACAACATTTAAAAACAACAACAACAAACAGCAACAAACCACAACAAACAACATTAACAAACAACAACAGACAACAACAACATTTACTGACATCAACAAACAACAACAACAACAACAACAAACAACATGGCACAAAACGTTAGTAACTGCAATCCCTCTGATCGTCAAACTCACCGAAAGAGCCTTTCAAATCAAATCACACGTTACACAAAATTCCCATACAACAAAAACATCATCAACAACAACAACAGCAAAAACATCAACAACAACAAAATCAACAACAATTTTTTCGATAAAGCGTTGTCAACACTGACTGATTTGAATATGTAAGTTGAATTTGACTAATTATAAAAAAAACAAAAGGTAGCGAATCAATTAAATAGCTTTTCAAATGATTAAAATATGTTAATTATATTTAATCATAATTAACGAAAGCAGAAAATTCAATCGTTATCATCGTCAGCAAGATCGGTCTTCGTCATCATTACCATCATCATCTTCCATAATATCATCATCATCATGCAATGCTAATCCAATATTTCATTATCAGCCCGGACATCTACATTTTTCATTAACGTTTCTCTCTCTCTTTCTTTCTCTCTCTCTCTCTCTCTCTCTTTCTCTCCCTCTTTTTCTTTTTCTCTTCTTTATATTTTTTCTCTTTTTTTCTCTTTCTCTCTCTCAACATTTTTTCCTTTCGCGCTCTTTTTAAATTTTTCTGATTTCATCAATCTGGTTTTTTTCGTATGTTTATATTTTCATGTGTTTTTGCGTGTCATTTCTTTGTTCATTCACTAACTCGTTCCTTCCTCCCTTCTTCCTTCTTTCCTTTTTTCTCTCTTGCTCTTTCACTCCTTCATTTCACTCCTCCAATCATGCACATATGAATGAATCA